CCTGGGTTCAGGCAATTCTCCTGCCTCAGCCTCCTGAGTGGCTGGGATTACAGGCACGCGCCACTATGCTCAGCTGATTTTTTGTATTTTTAGTAGAGACGGGGTTTCACCATGTTGACCAGGATGGTCTCGATCTCTTGACCTCGTGATCCACCTGCCTCGGCCTCCCAAAGTGCTGGGATTACAGGCGTGAGCCACTGCGCCCGGCCAGGTCTTTCTATTCTTGAATAGTCTTGGCTGTTAAAATACTCACAGATAAAAAGATATTTATTCAGTACTCACTAAGAATTTAGACACACAACTCACTCCATATACATCATAGGAAGGGAGATTTTTACACATGAGGCTTGCAGCTCGTGAAAATTAACCCAAGGATACAGGATGAGGAAGTGAGGGAGCTGGAGAGCTGTTCTTAGCCCACTACACCACATGCACCACTATTGTTCCTTTTCTGCCCATCACTTCCTATTCTGAAGGGAGAGAACTGAATCTCACAATTAAAGCCACAAATCACCCAAAATTCACATGCTGTTCATAACTCAGAGACACAATTAATTGTGTGACTGTTGACTTAAACAGTGGTTCATGAGACTTCCAAAACAGTCCTACTTTATCACTCAGAACCACACAACTTCCCTCTTCCCAATACAGAGACTAAAGTATTTTAATGCATAAGCATTTTTACAATCCTGACTAGCTTTGACAGGAGAAGCAAAGAGGAAAAGCAATGTGTTCTCCTTTCATTCTGTGGCCCTTCTCTGAAACCTCATGGAGGAGAGTAAACTTATTATCCAATTTCCACTGTCACTTAAGAGTTTAATAATATGGCATTAATAGTAATGATTATAAACAGATGACTTACCACAAACACACAGGATAAACATAGCAACAACATTCAACTGGAGAGTTTTAATAATTTTTTTTTAAGTATAAAGCATGGAACTACTGACTTGGAAATCCACTCACCATCACCCCTAGTCATCCACTAGCAAAATGTTTGCTTCTTGTTCCTGTGACATTATGTTATGCAGACCTAGAGGCCTTAGTTTCAGAGGAAGGAACACTGCCACCAGGAGACACAACAATTCCATTAAATTGTAAATTAAGATTGCCATCTGGATACTTTGGGGTTCTCTGACCTGTAAATCAATAGGCTAAGAAGGGAGCTTCAGTGTTGTCTGGGCAACTGACCTAGACTATCAAGATGAAATCAGTCTACTACTCCACAATGGAAGTAAGGAAGAGTATGCATGAAATACAGGAGATCCTTCAGGCATCTCTTAATATTACCATGCCCTGTGATTAAGGTCAACGGGAAACTACATCAGCTCAATCCAGGGAGGACTACAAAACCCTTCAGGAATGAAGGTTTGGGTCACTCCACCAGGAAAAAAACCATGACCTGCTGAGGTGCTTGCTGAAGGCAAAGGGAATACAGAATGAGTAGGAAAAGAAAGTAGTCATCAGTATAGTACCAACTACAACCACATAATCAGTTGTAAAAATGAGGAATGTAATTGTCATGATTATTTCCTCCTTCTTTTGCTAAAACCATGTTTTTAGCATGTACAGGTATGTATACACTTGTACTAAGAAAACATCTTCAAATTTCCCTTTTCCTTTCTTATGTGACACAGATTTATTCACTTCATATCAGCATTTAAGTATTGTTGACTTTATGTAATAGCATTTGGGTTGAGGATTGGTGCATTTCCGGTTGTATGAAGGACAGTTGTATTATGTTAGGTATAATTATGATCTTATTATTGTCTTTATTTGAAGATTATGTATGATCTCAGGAGATGTATATGGGTTCAAGTTGACAAGGGATGGACTTGCGATGGTTAATACTGAGTGTCAACTTGACTGAATGGAAGGATGCAAAGTATTGATCCTGGGTCTGTCTGTGAGGGTATTGCCAAAGGAGATTAATATCTGAGTCAGTGGACTGGGAAAAGCAGACCCACCCTTAATCTGAGTGGGAACCATCTAATCAGTTGTCAGCATGGCCAGAATACAAAGCAGGCAGAAAAATGTGAAAAGGCTAGACTGGCTTAGCCTCCTAGCCTGTATCTTTCTCCTGTGCTGGATGCTTCCTGCCCTCAGACATCAAACTCTAAGTTCCTCAGCTTTGGGACTCAAACTGGCTTCCTTGTTCCTCAGCTTGAGGATGGCCTATTGTGGGACCCTGTGATCATGTGAGTTAATATTACTTAATAAACTCCTGCATGCATATATATATACACATACACACACACACCCACGTGTGTGTGTGTGTGTGTATCCTGTTGGTTCTTAATAAACTCATATATATATAAACTCTTTATATATATAGATATATAGATATATGTGTGTGTAGATAGATAGATAGGTAGATAGATAGATTAGATAGATAGATAGATAGATAGATAGATAGATAGATAGATAGATAG